GGGGGCCTGAAACGGGGCTGGGGAGGTCCCAAAATGGGGCTGAGGGGCTCCAAATGGGGATGGGGGGACACCCAGAGCTACCATAGCCAATACAGGGACCACAAGACCACCCAGAGTCACCACAGACCACTCTGGGTCACGAGACCCCAGAGCCTTCATCTTTGGACTGGGGGACCCTCAAAGCCACCACAGCCCACACCAGGAAACCACCCAGAGCACCACAGCCTGGCACTTCGGGGTTCTGAGCTGGGGGGTCCCAAACAGGGCTGGGGGGGGCATCCAGAACCACCACGGACCACACCAGGACCAGGAGACCACCCAGAGCCACCACCAGTCTGGTACCTTTGGATTCTGAGCTGGGGGGCCCCAAAAGTGAGACTGGAAGACTCCCAGGGCCACCGCAGCCCACACCAGGACCGTGAGACCACCCAGAGCCACCACAGCCTGGCACCTTCAGCTTCTCAGCCGTGGGATCCCAAAACCAGGGCTGGGAGACCCCCAGAGCCACCGCGGCCTGGCACAGGATCACCGGGGGACACAGAGGAGCTGCAGGGAGCCTGGCCTGGGCTGTGGGACATCGTGGGGACCGGGGGATGTTGAGGGGACATCCCCGGGACAGGGGACATGGTGTCACTGCAGTAAACACGTCCCACCCTCTGGTGTCCGTGTGTCCTGCGGCCTCGGGGGCACTGCCTTGTACCCCCTGCTCAGCCCGGGCCCTCTGAGTGCCCCCATCCCTGGGGACAACGGGCGGGGGGTGGCACAGGGGGTGGTGACACGGAGCCCAATTCCCTCCCAGTTCCCGTTGGGAATAAGAGTCGGGACAGCGGAGCCAGCACTGGGTTTACTGGGGAGCGGGGAGAGGCAGGAGGGGGGGACATGCCCGGGACCCTCCTCGGTCACGCGGTGCTGGGGGGTGACAAGCAGGGGGGTCCGGGACCCCCATGGCAGAGTCTGTCGGTGCCGCGGTGCCTGCAGAGGGGACACGGGGAGGGGGGGCTGTGACGGGACCCCCATGTCCCTGTGTCCCCATTCCAGGAGGTTCTCTCGGCCATGTCCCCATCCTGGGGGGTTCTCCATCTGTGTCCCCATGTCCCCACCTCGGGGGATTTCTCCAGGTGTGTCCCCTGTCCCCGTCCCAGGGAGTTCTCCCGCCCATGTCCCTGT